AAAGTAAATTGAAAACTTTCTGGGAGGGATTTGACATTCTAGATGCCATTAAGGAAATTTGTGATTTTCACATGTGGGAGCTAAAAACGTTGATCTCATGGAGGTAGTGAGTAGAATGATAGTACCAGAGGCTGGGAGGGGCAGTGGGGGTGGGAGTATGAAGACAGGTTGGTTGATGGGTACAAACATACAGTTAGACCAAAGGAATGGATTCTAGTGTTCAATAGCACAGTAGGGTGACCATAGTTAACAACAATATATTGTATATTTCAAAATAGCTAGAAGAGATTTGAAATGTTCTCAACACAAAGAAATGATAAATGTCCGAGACGAAGTGTATCCTAAATACCCTCATTTCGATCATTACACTCTGTATGCATGTATCAAAATATATGTACCCCATAAATATGTACAAATATTATGTATCAGTCAAAAAAATTTTTAAAGAACATTTGTCATTCACGGGAGGAGGTCAAAATATCAACATTAACAGGAGTTTGGAAGAAGTTGATTGACCCCTCATGGATGACTTTGCGGAGATCAAGACTTCAGTCGAGGAGGTAACTGCAAATGTGGTGGAAATAGCAAGAGAACTGGAGTTAGAGGTAGAGCCTGAATATGGGACTGAATTGCTACCATCTTGTGATAAAACTTGATGAGGAGTTCTTATGAATGAGCAAAGAAGGTGGTTTCTTGAAGTGGAATCTACTCCCGGTGAAGATGCTATGAACATTGTTGAAACGACAGCAGAGGATTTAGAATCTCACAGAAACGTAGTGCGGCAGCACATAAAGCAGCAGTAGGGTGTGGGAGGGTTGATCCAGTTTTGAAAGTTCTACTGTGGGATCCTTTTGATGTCTGTCAAGCAGCATGACATGCTACAGGGAAACCTTTTGTAAAAGGAAGAGTCAATTAATAAAGCAAACTTCATCATCTTATTTTAAGAAATCTTCACAACCATCCCAGCCTACAGCAGCCACCACCCTGCTCAGTCAGCAGCCATCGATACTGAGGCAGGACTCTGTACCAGCAAAGATTATGATTCACTGAAGCCTCAGATGATCATTAGCATTTTTTAGCAACAAAGTATTTTTAAATTAAGGTATGTACATTGTTTTTTAGATATAATGCTGTTGTACACTTAATACACTACAGGATAGTGTGAGCGTAACTTTTGTATGCACTGGGAAAACAAAAAGTGTGTGTGACTCACTTTATTGACATTTGCTTTATTGTGGTTGTCGGGAACCGAACTTGTGATATCTCAGAAGTACACCTGTATTCAACTTACATATAATATTTTATAACAGGTGAGTTGTGATAGTTTATGCTTTTTGAAGAATTGGTTCTTTTCATCCAAGTGGTCAAATTAATGTGTGTAGAATTGTTCATAGTATTTCCTTGTGATCCTTTTCATATCTACAGGGTCTGCAGTAATATCTTGTTTCGTTCCTGATATTGGTAATTTGTGTTTTCTTTTTTTTCTTTGTTAGGCTTATCAGTTTTGTTGACCTTTTTAAATAACCAACTTTTTGTTTCATTGATTTGTTTTCTCTGTTTTTCTATTTTCAATTTCGTTGATTTCTGCTCTTTATTATTTCCTTCTGCTTACTTTAACTTACTCTTTCTACATTCTTAAAGTAACAGATTATTCACTTCAGACTTTTCCTCTTCCTGATCATGCCCCACAAATTTCGATATGTTCAATTCCATGTAGTTTTTAAATTTCTGTTGAGAAGTGTATTGTTTCATTTTCAAGTGTTTAAAGATTTTCCTGTTATCCCTTTGTTACTACTTTCTATTAATAGTTTCCTTTTATTATAATCAGAGAAGTACTCTTGATAATTTCAGTTCTTTTAACATTGTTGAGATTTGCTTTAAGGCCCAGGGTATGGTCTATATTGATAGACGTTCTGTGGGCACTTGAAAAGAGTGCGTGTGTGGTCTGTTGTTGTTGAATGGCGTGTAGCTTAGATCCTGGGTCTAAATGTCGATTAGGTCCTATGGTCGATGGTAGTGTTGAGTTGTTCTATATTCTTGCTGATTTTCTATCTAGTTCTATCAGTAGTTGAGTGGGCGATATTGAGCTCTAACTATAATTATGGATTTGCCTATTTTTCCTTTAAATTCTGTCAGTTTTTCCTCTGCATATTTACAGCTCTGTTGTTTACTACATACGCATTTAGGATTGTATGTCTTCGTAGTTTGACCCATTGTGTGTTATCCCTCTTTGTCTCTGGTAATTTTCTTTCTTCTTATCTTGTATTAATATAGCCACTCTTGTTTTCCTTTATTGTTTGCATGATAGAATGTTTTCCATCCTTTTACTTTCAACCTTCTTATATTGTTATATTTGAAGTGAGTTTCTTGAAATATAAGTTAGGTAATGTTTTTGTTTTTCAATCCAGTCTGCCGAATCTCTGTCTCTTAATGTTGTATGTAGACCACTGACATTTTATGTAATTATTGATATGTTAGGGTTGACATCTGCCATTTTATTTGTTGTTTTCTGTTTGTTCTGTTTTCATTTTCTTGCCTTCCCTGATGTTACTCAGACATTCTTTAGAATTCCATTTTGGTTTATCTGCAGTGTATTTGAGGGCATATATTTGCGTGATTAGTGTAGTGGTTGCTCTAGGTATTACGTTATATATACAAATAACTTAGAACAGTCTATTGGTATTGTCATTTTACTAATTCAAGTACAGCACATAAACATTACCTTCCTTTATGTCCTTTTACCCTGCCCCATTTATAATTATCTTAACTACATACATTTCAGATCACACCAGTGTTTTAATTTTTACTTCAGCCCTCACATATCATTTTGAAAACTCGAAAGGGAAAACCTGTCATATTTGCCTATGTGTTTGGTTACCCTGTTTTTCCTTTCTGGTATTCTAAGATTCCTTCTTTTTATCACCTCCTTTGTGTTTAGAGAACTCCTTTAGCCATCTCTTTGGTGTAGGTTTGTTGGCTACAAGTTCTCGGTTTTCTTTTGTATGAGAATGTCTTGATTTTCCCTTAATTCTTGCAGGATATTTTCTCAGGGTATAGGATTGACAATTCTTTTCTTTCAGTTCTTTGAAAAATATTGTGCTGGTTTATGATGAGAAATCCACTGTCATTAGAATTGATTTTCTTCAATGGGCGAGCTGTTTCTCCCCCTGATTTGAAGGTTTTTCCTTGTTTTAGTTTTCAGAAGCTTAATGTGTGTTGGCATGGATTTCTTTGGATTTGTCTTGTTTGGTGTGTGCTCAGCTTCTAGAGTCCATAGGTTTATGTCCTTTGCCAGATTTGGGAAGTTTTCAGCCATTGTTTTTCAGGGTACTTATTTGGCCTCTCTCTCTTTGTCCTTTCCTTCAGGACTGTGATGACAAGCAAATGTTAAGATCTTTTTGTTAAAGCCCTATGAGTCCCTGAAGCTCTGTTTTCAGTCTGTTTTCTCTATGTTGTTCAGACTGGGTCATTTCTTCTGTTCTCTATTCTAGTTCCCCGATTCTTTCCTCTCTTTTCTCCATTCTGCTGTTGAGCCCATCTAATGAGTTTTTTATTCTGGTTATTATATTTCTTTAGTTCTAAAATTTCCATTTGATTCTTCTTTGTATTTTCTATTGCTAAAATTTTATATTTTTGGATATTTCAAGTGTGTTTGAAATTGCTCATTGAGCCAGTTTTATGATGACTGCTTTAAAATCTTCGTCAAATAATTTTAACATCTCTATCATCTTGGTGTTGATGTCTGTTGATTATCTTCTTTTAATTCACTTTAAGCTCTTCTTGGTTCTTGGTATGATGAGTTATTTTTTATTAAAGTCTGGCCATTTTTAGATTGTATTCTGAGATTCTGGATCTTATTTAAATTTTCTTTTAGATGTCTTTCTCTGATACCACTCAGGCATTTGGGGGTGGGGTATCAGCACAGCAGGGAGGAGGGGAAGCATTTTGTTAGTTGAAGCCCAGGTTCTCTACTTGGTCTCTGTTTACACCGAAGGGGGAGATGTCTGGAGGGGGAGGTAGGGGTTCTGCCTCCCCACATGATCTCCACTGCCACTGTGGTGAGGGCGGCTACTCTCTCAAGCCAAAGGACTAGGAAAGAAGACTTTGAGACCAGTGGTCCCCAACCTTTTTGGCACCAGGGACCAGTTTTATGGAAGACAGTTTTTCCACGGGAGTGGGGCAAAGCTCAGGTGGTGACATGCGGCCCAGTTTCTGACGGACCGGGAACCACTGTAACTGCTCTATTCCAGCCAAATACCACAGAAAAAGACGTGGCTCCACCCACACCAACAAAGGTCCGGCAGGGAACCGACTTTGTGAGGCTATAACAAGGCACCCCATCACTCTCGCCAGGGAGGTATCAAAGAAGGCCACATAAGGAGCTGGGACTTTCATACCTGCTGGCTGGCAATGAACCATGACCCCATGGTGTCAGTGGAGACCTTGCAGAGAGCCTGGACTTCTGAACTTCTGCCACCAACCCCGTCCTCCCGCACCGCCCCCCACAATAATAAAGTGCTCTTCCCCCTCCCCTTGGGTTGGTGTCAGTGGAGGCCTAGTGGAAAGTCAGGACTTTGATGATTGCTCAGTGTTTCTCTGGGGGAGTGGGGGGGGTGTTTCATATTCTAGACAATAATTTGGTGCTCAACCGTTTTTTCACCCCTAGAATGTTCACATGTGGCCCAGGTTCGTTGCTACAGTGAGACAGAATCCTACGGTGCCTTTTGTTTTTTCTCTGTTGTGGGTTCCTAGCTGACCTGGTTAAAACACTGTTATCAAGGACAGTTGTAATCCTCTGAGTAAGGACTTGGTTATTTAGAACTTACCAGTTACCATTTCTTTTATTAGCCCAGAAATACCCTTCATTCCTTGCATTGCCATAGAGTGCAGTTTCGTGAATATAGATACACAAGTGTGTAATCATCACATGTAATATAAAGCAGTGGTCTCACTTACACTTGGTTTCCACTGAAAACACTGGTTTTTCTTTGCCATTCCAGTACCTTCTCCTGGCAAATTCCGCTCCCCTGCAGCACCATCTCCTTTGGCTCTCCGGCAACCAGTGAAAGCATTTAGTACCCATGGCTCTGGTTCTCCTGGTAGCCAAGAAACAACACAGCTCACACAAACCACCTCCTCACCTGGGCCTCCCATGGTTCAGAACACAGTCTCAGCAAATCCTCCCAGCAATATCAACAGCACTACTCTAACAAGACCTGCAGGGACAACCCCAATGAGAAGTGGCTTGCCCAGACCCAGTGCCCCTTCTGCTGGGGGCATACCAGTGCCTCGCAGCAAACTTGCACAGCCTGTTCGCAGGTAAGTGGCAAATGTTCTATTTCAGCATTCTTGAGTATGTGAAAGTTGGCAAACTGTGTTAGCCTGATCTGTACATTTGATAGTAAACAAAGAGAGTCATGGTGGGTTCCCAGTAGAGTTTTAGTACAATTTGAATAAAACGTTAATTTATTGTTTTAAAGAAATCCTCATTTGGGACATTATGCCAGTTTGGTTCAGATTAAATTTGTCCAGATACCTAATAACATGATTAAATATCTCAGAGGACTCCTAGAAAAAACTGTTGGAACCACTCTATTTGGTTGTGATATTTGTTCATTTTAAAAATAATGGTATTCAGCCTGGGCGCGGTGGCTCACGCCTGTAATCCTAGCACACTGGGAGGCTGAGGCGGGCAGATTGTTTGAGCTCAGGAGTTCGAGACCAGCCTGAGCAAGAGCGAGACCCCGTCTCTACTAAAAAAATAGAAAGAAATTAGCTGGACAACTAAAAATATATAGAAAAAATTAGCCGGGCATGGTGGCGCATGCCTGTAGTCCCAGCTACTTGGGAGGCTGAGGCAGAAGGATCGCTTGAGCCCAGGAGTTTGAGGTTGCTGTGAGCTAGGCTGACGCCACGGCACTCACTCTAGCCAGGGCAACAGAGTGAGACTAAAAAAAAAAAAAATAAAAAATGGAATTCAGTGTATAGTCCCAGTAATCAGGAAGATCACTTGAGGCCAGGAGTTTGAGACCAGGAGTTTGAGACCAGTCTGGGTGATATAATGAGACCATGTCTCTTTTAAAAAAAAAAAAAAAAAAATTCAATAAGGATGGTAAAGGCAAGTTAGAATCTAGAGTGATATTTAAGGTACAACTTTTAGCTACTAAGTCTAATATGTAAGCATGGTTTTCACACCCTGTTAAAATTCAGAATTATTTGTGGATTTGTATAAATATAGAGGCCTAAATTTTACCCCCAGAGACTCTAACTTAGTAGGTCTGCTGTGAGGCCCAGAATCTGGGGGTGTGCTGTTTCCTTTGTTTGCTTGTTTAATCTTCAAGTGACTCTGAACCCACACAGTGGGGAGCCGTGCATCTGCAGGCTTGATCTGCCTTTCAGAAATGGGATTATCACCGTCAGTGAACGCAGTGCCAGCTGTGATTAAACTGGGAATATTTATTTGCATGAAAAACATGCTTTCATCTCGTAAGCATTCAAACTAAATTACTCCATACTTCCTTAATTCTAAGATAAACATTTTGTATCTACAAATTCAATAGTAGAGTCCAACAGCCTTTTGCTGTGCACTGTGCTGAATAACTTTTAATCTTCACAATAACATTAAATAAGTAGGTGTTCTTACTGTTTTTCAGAGGAGGATATTGAAATTTAATGAAATTAAGTAATTTGCCTAAAGCCACACAACTAACGAGACCTTCGGCTCCAACTATGGCTGACTTCACGGTCCTTTTAACCACTGTCCCATACTGCCTCTCTAGTGATGGTGACACTAAACCTAATATCACATTCGTCATTCTGCCTCTCAAAACAATTGTAAGATTGGTTATCCACGTGGTTGGGCAGGGTGAGACAACCTTTTCCCTTCTTTTAATCTAGTAGCTGTGTTAACATAAAGGGAAGTCATCTGGTGGTGCCAGGCGAAACTTGACAATTGTGCGAATGCCGAGTGTGGGGAGGTTGGTGCCAACAGCTATTAGGGCTTTGGTCTTAGTAGTCCCCTGGAACAGCCTTCATAAGATCATGATGCCACCCGAAAAGTAATTAATATATGTAAGAGATAGCATGGTAATATTTCATAAAGACATGCAAATCATATAAAATTGCTTTATTTCAGATCCTTGCCAGCTCCTAAAACCTATGGTAGCATGAAAGATGACAGTTGGAAAGATGGCTGTTATTGACCAGCAAAGACAAGAATGCAGAGGTCCGCGGTTTCATGGATACCCCTTCACCAGGCTACAGAACAACTTTTATATGCAGACTGTTCAGATAAGACTCTTGGGATTTGTAAAATCCCAGCCCTCTCTGTCTTAATTAGCACAAACCGGCAGAGATCATCAAACAGCACTTTAATGACATTTAACATCAGATGTGTTTGGTAATCATACAATCACTCTCCATGGAATCACTTTTAGTTTTGTTTAATAGAAACTAAGTTGATTTTTAAATATTCGACAGAGGCCAATATCTGGGCATATACCTAATGGATGCCAAAGAGAAATGCCCATTTGTAAATGAGAAAATACCTTTGTACACAAGAAAATGGTGAATTCAAGCTATCCAAAACTTCACATTCAACCTAATTTACTGTATAAATAGTATCAATAAATATTTGTGTTAAAGAGAACTAATATTCTGACTAATTATCTAAACTATTTCACTCATGTTTCACTAGTATTCCAGGAAGCTATAGATTAGGATTGGGGGGAAAGAGGGAGGAAGAAACCTGGACTAGAGATTTAAAACATGATCCCTAAATTTAGGAGAATTCCATAAATTATTTTTGCAGATTCATTAGGAAAATTATCATTTTATTTAATCTTAAGTTTTGGATGTAGCTCACGTGTCACCACCACCGGGTAGTGTTACAGCGCGCATCCATCATGTTGCATCGACACATCAAACTCCTGTGTGTTTGTTTTGATTGCCAGAAGGGCTTAGTATCAGTTGTACAATCTTTCTAAACTTTATAGTTCCTGGCTCAGGAAAGATGGCCTTTGCTATTGAAGCCAACTTCTACACATGCTGTTACCTGTTACAGAACTGAGAGATCTTGTTTCTATCAGCAGGTTTTCATGATAGGAAAGAGCAAGTACTGTGTATCTTTACTCTTGATATAACAACACCTCAGTGCTTACAACCTGGAACAAAACCATACAGTAAGAGAGAGGGGGGGAAAAAATCTATGCACTTAACCTACAAATCTCTAGTGATGACAGTTGTATTGTTGTTATTAAATGGCATAATGGTCTGTTATGTGGTAGGAAAATACAGCCTATGAAATCCTACTTAAGTTGATCTACTTTAAGCTGAATAACTGTGTAAAACATCTTTTGAAAATACTGTCCATTTTGACTTAGATTCTGCCTTACATCAGTTTTGCATTTTTGGTAACAAACCAACATATAATTCTAGCCTGTTAAATGCTTGCTCTCTAATGGCTCTTATGTATATCCTTAAAATCACCTATTTCAGTTTTATCAAGACTATTACCAGATTAAAACTTCCTTCTGTAACAGGCTTCTCATTTTTGATAGTGAAGTCTGTTCTTAAATACTTAATTTGAACAGTTCTAAAATATTGGCAGTTGGGTCACCTAAAAGATTTTAGAGATTTGAACATAAGTTCACTTCCTGTTAATTGAAGCCATTCCATAAGTTGGCAAAAGAGATAAAGAGAGAGAAACAGAATGTTTGATATTCAGGACGGCATTCAGATTGCTAGGTTGAGAGAATGTTAAAACTTTAACCAAGACCTTCATTCTGCCGTGACTGACTCCATGGGAGTCTTTATATTAGCTTGACCAGTGTGAAGGCTTTCAGTTAGCATAAGCAGCTAGAGATTTAAACTGCCGGTACTATGTATTTGGTGCATAATGCAAGGAAGAAATTGTATCCTTGAATTTGAGGGTGATGGGGCAGGTCAGGAAAGGATGGTGCCAGAATTCTTTGTGATGATGAACTAAAAAATGTTGCTTTTCAGAGAAAGATAAAGAAAGCATCGGCTTTTGGGAGGGGGGTATCTCATGTAAATCTAAGTAAGTAAAAGAAAGAACTAGCCACTGACTCTTTTAAAAACCACATATACACAAAACAGGTCTCAGTTTTCAGTGCAACGTTTTAAAAATATATATGCTGCAATCTAAGAATTAAAAGGAATTTTAATATTATGAAACAACTCATTACATTTTTTAAGTTAGATAATCAGTTTCAAAAAGTATTCAGGTTATTTAACTTTGTTTTTAAATGGCTGCATCAGAAAAATACTTCTATTTTTTTTTAATTAAAATATTTCATCACTTGTTAAAACATTTATTTTGGATCTGAGTTTGGTAAAGTATTATTTTACCTGCTGTTGTACTACCACAGACTATTGGCTTTTAGTTTCCTAAAGAGAAAAATTGCCTTTTTACTAGAAAGCCTTTGTGTATTGCCAATTTTTCTGTTTGGGAAAATCTAAGGATTTACTGTGGTCAGTCTTACAGAAGAAATGTGGATTTGATAAACTAGTGCCTATGATTTTAACTTATGTTTGATATATAGTAGTAAGGGTTTTATGAATGTTGATTATTTTGTGCCAACAGCCCAGAATTGTCACTTATATGTAAGCAGAAAACTATGAACTCTGCTTCCAAAGTTATTTAATTTTCTCAGTGTTTGAATGTTATTTTTTGTAAGTGTGTTAATAAAAGTGTAAAGAATTGGAAAAAAATATAAATATTCTTAACTCAAGCATTTGCTGGATCATTTTTCTACAGAACTTGTTTGTATAATATAAAACACTTTCTGAAGAGTTGACTTTTTTCAGTTTTCATATCCTGGAAATCACATTTTGTAAAACTGGGGACCATTCACAATTGTCAGATACTTTTTAAAATTCTCTCAATACATCACTTTTATAGAAGCAGTTTTTTTGAAAGAAAATTAGATACATATGTGGCCCCAGATGTTTGTATAACTCTAGAATGATCTAGATATGTATGTTTAAATTAACTTTTTATTGAATGTACAGGTGTCCATTTTTGACATTAAGCATGGTCCTTTTAGATCACATGAAGTTTGATTTGCAAACATTTCTATAGCCGAACTTGTATATGTGGTTGCCTCCTTAATAAACAGCCTGACCATAATGTTTACTATTAAATTTATATTCGTTTTTTCAAGTGTTTAATTTCTGGATATGGTGAAATACCTTTTTTTCCCCAGTTGCCTACAATTGGTTTTACTAAATTACTCAGTTGGTTTTTTAAACATAAACCCAAATCATATTGCCCTCTCAGACTTAGACTTCATGGGGTTGGATGATACCATATTTTCTCTACCCTAGTTATTTCATATGCGGACTATTTGGAGTAAAATTATAGTTTACTCTAAATTGGTTTGTTCTTGGAACTTTTTCACGTGCTGTGAATTGGTATCTAGTTAGAAAAAGTTAGCATATATAAAACAAGCAAAAGCCATTATGTGAGGTTCCAAGAGGAAAAAGTAATGCATTTTCAAACCACAGACAACAGGTGTCAACCCTAAGATGCTCCAGATGTTGGAATTCTCAGAGAGACTTTAAGGAAGCCGTTACAACCATAACATGAGATAAAAGTAAAACACTCTTATGACTGGAAAGATTAACATTCTCAGGAGAGTAGGGAAAAAATTTTTTAAGAAATGGAAATTGCAGAACTGAAAAATTGTGTAAAATTCTTTAAATTTGCCAGATGGATTCGACACCTGACTGAAGATGGCGGAGTCAGTGGCGCTGTAAAGAGATCAGTGGGATTTATTTACTCTGAAGAACAGAGAGACAAAAGGTTGAAAACATGAACAGAGCCTCAGGCACCCGAGGACCAACATGGAAAGGTCATTGCAATCCAGTGGTCAACTGGCTCTCAGAAAAAGCCCTTCCTTGCAGTGTTTTCTGATGTCCAGGTGTATCCATCTGGATATTCTCTTTTGTGAAGTCTATTCAAATCGTTTGCCTGGCTTTCTATTGCATCGTCTCTGTTACTAATGTGTAGTTCTATAGGTGTCCTGGGAAGGAGAGTTTTTAGTAGAGTTGTTTCTAACCCTTACCTCTTTAACGAATGTAGGATCTGAAGTGATGAAGCCTTCATCCCATGAATTGGTATTTGGATGTTTGTGCTCTCTCCATCTCTGTCTCCCTCCATCTCTCTCCCTCCCTCACCCTCCCTCTCGCACCTCTCACTTTTTTTTCTTCCCCCTCTCTCTTTCCCTCTCCCTCTTTCCCCTCCACGCCCCCTCTCTTTCTTACCAGTTCCACTGGGGATTTCTCAGTTTTAGTCTTGCAGCTATTAATTTGTCGTGTCCCAGGACCCAGTCCTTGGTCCACTTCTGTGTCTACACTCACTCGGTGTCTCATGGTTTGGAAGCCATTAGTTGCATGTCTGGCGACTCCAGGTTCACACACCCAGCTGCCTACTCAGCTGGCCATCCGGCGGGCACCGCGGGGTGCACACGTGCAAGACCAAACTTCTGCTCTCGCAAACCCACTGCATCCATCTCCGCAACAGCAACTTTGCAGTCCTTCTTGACGTCTCCCGTCTCCCCCGTCCCCTACGCACACACCTCACTACCAATCTGGTAATAAATCTTCGTGATTCTACCTTCAAACCACGTCCAGAATCTGACCCTTCCCTGCTTCAGCCCTCACTCCCACACAGCCTCAGGCGGCCTTAAAAATGTGATTCAGTCATATCAATCCTCATCTCAAGCCCTCCAGGGGCTCACCATTCACTCAGCACAGAAGCCAAGGTGTTTGTGCCCCCACCTCTGTTTCTCTGGCATCCTCTCCTCTCCTCCCCGCTCCACTCCGTTCAGCTCCCCCAGGCCCAGCCTCAGACGCAGGCCCACAGGAGCGGCCCCAGGTAGCGATGGGTGAAGCCCTCCCCTGCTTCCAGTCTTCGCTCGTGTGTCACCTTCTCCGTAAAATCGTAACTCAGCTCCTCCCCGAGCTCCCAGTCTTTTTTCCCAAGCTCCTCCTCTTTTCCGTAGCACTCATCGCCTCCTCGCGTCCCATGTAATTAACTTACTTTACGAATACAGTCTACGCTTCGTGGGAGCAGGGATCATTCGTTTGTTCATCAGTGTATCACAAATACCCAGCACAGTGCCTGGCACAGGGTGGGCACTCAGATATTTCAAATATTTGTTGAATTAAAGTACTGCTGGTGGGAGTCTTTTAGAGAGCAATTTGTAATACTTAAAATTTAAAATGCACCCTTGGATCCAGAGATTCCACTTCTACGAATTTATCTTGCAGATATACCCGCACGCGGGCTTGTGTAGATAAGAATACAAGAATATACGTTATAGTGTTATCTGTGGCCAAGGCTGGGCTTAAATGTCCCTCAGTAGGAAACCGGTTAATTTCTGATACATTATTCACTGAAATATTACGCAGCTATTAGGAAGATCGAGAGTCAACAGCTCTGTACGTAAAGCTGTGGAATGCCCCCGAAGATGCATTGTTAAAAGTAGAAACAAGGTCAGGAGTTCGAGACCAGCCTGAGCAAGAGCGAGACCCTGTCTCTACTAAAAATAGAAAGAAATTAATCAGACAACTAAAAATATATAGAGCCGGGCATGGTGGCGCATGCCTGTAGTCCCAGCTACCCGGGAGGCTGAGGCAGGAGGATCGCTTGAGCCCAGGAGTTTGAGGTTGCTGTGAGCTAGGCTGACGCCACGGCACTCACTCTAGCCCGGGCAACAAGGCGAGACTCTGTCTCAAAAAAAAAAAAAAAAGTAGAAACAAGGTGCCTGAATGCCGTTTGTGGAATAAGAAGGGTTGTGAGTCCTATTTGCTTAATTAGCAACGACGCCTCTGGAAGAACACAGCAGACCTGGTAACTGGCTACCCGTGGAGAGGGAGGTGGGGACGGAGGCTGCCCAAGGGAAGGAGGTAAGGAGACTGCCTTTTACCTGAATTTTCTTTTATGCCGTCTGAATTCTTTACCATGTTCTTATGTACACCCACTCCTTTTTCAAAAGGTAAAAGAGAAATATAACCCCTAACTTCCTTGCCCCCTCAAGAAAACCTGTGTGACTTAGCGGAACGAGTAGAATCTGGTCTGTGGGACCCTCTTCATTTAGCCTTCTCAGTTGTGCCATCATAAGTTTAGATATTTGGGCCACAAGAAGCATGTTTATAGATTTTACTTTAATGTTTTTGACTTTATCAAGGGTTTTATAAAGAAAAAAAAAAGCTGCTTCTGCCTCTGGTGTGAGGTTATCAAGAGCATTGTTCATTATGTGGCCCAACAGCCCGCATACAAAGGCCCGTGTGAGAACCCGTGTGTTTTCCAGAATGCAGTATCTGAAAAATTGTCATCTCCGTGAACTAAAATAAAATCTTAAGCCCCACCACCACCAGCCGATTAAAAGGACCCCTCTCTTGGCCAAAACCCCCCCACCCCCAAAATAAAAAAACTTAAAGCTGAGTTGCAAACCATGAGGAGAAGGCAGGTCAGATGCGCCTAGATGTGCCCCCTGCCTTTTAGAGTTAT